TACACAGGGTTACTATGAGTTGCTGGGGACTTAATGGCACATAAGAACAACAACAACAGTAGCCCAATGCCTACCCTGCTTCTTGGGTAATCTAATACTGCCAGGGACCCATGTGGGGCTGTTAAACCCTTTGCTGTTGACTCAATTCCTAGTTAACTGTGATTCATAGCAGCCCTGTGAACAATGGATCTGAATCCTGCTCTATCCTGTGCCACCCTCACCATCTCTGATATACTTGAGCCCCTTGTTACAGTAGCTGTGCCAATCCATCTTGTTGAGGGTCTTCCTCTCTTTTACTGGCTCTCCACTTTGGCAAGAATGATGTTCTTTTCCAAGGACTGGACTCCCCTAACAACATGGCCAAAGTATGTGGGGCAAATCAGTGCTGATGTAATTATTAAAGCTCAACTAGTTCTATGGGAGCACTGTGGTCTAGTGGCAATCACAAAGACACATGGTTTGAGGCCATCAGCTGTTCTGCTTGAGAAGGATGGCCAATCTCACTGGAGGGTCAGCTGTGGGTCGGTTCTGACTCTACAGTACACAGCAACAACAGTGCTAAGCCCAAGAGCAAGGACTTGAACCCATGAGCCTCTCTATGGGACGAAGATTTAACATTCTACTTTTGTAAAGGGCTCTGCCTTGGGGAGCAGCTCTGCTCTGCTGTACAGGATGATTATGGTTTGACAGCAGTGAGTTTGGTTTTGTTTTTCTTTGAATCTTTTCAGAAGCATACTACCACATATCTCTCCTATAGAGTAAATGGGAGGTTTGGACCACCACCCTTTTTCTTAGTAGTTGAATGCTTAACTGCTGTTCCCTCAGATTCCTTAATGGACTGCTGTTGTGAGCTGTGAGTCAAGTCTGACTCATCAGACCCAGTAAAGAATATCAACATAGATCCTTCAGAAGCACTTTCTTAATGGGACAATTTTACACAAATGCAAGAAAATCTGAATGTGAGTTCAGAAGAGAGAGATCAGATGGAAAAATTATGCAGAAGGGATCCCAACTATGTGAAAATAATGACTAATGAAATTATGAAGAATGAATGGGAATGAAGAAACATTTTTCAATAAAGAAAACAAGAAAAACAACCTTATTGTCCTAAGATCAAGCGCAGCTCCATAGCCAACAGGGGAATCAGACAAAAGAACTCCGTTTCTGCTGAATCCATCACGCCAGGGGATATCAGTAATCAAAACAGTGCAGGCAGAGCCAGGGTCTAAATTCGATCCAGATTTGATATGAACAAACAGAAGAAAAATGGCTTCACTGGAGTAAAAAGTTTAGGGTCCTGGAGATGAAATCTAAGTGTTCGAAGCTATTTCATGTTGAGCTTTCAGCTGAATTTCCTGAGGAATCATCAGAGCCGCAATGTGGGGAATGCCATCGTTCTTCTGAGGCATCGCAGCTGCTGAACAGCAGACACCTGGAATCTCTGCGTGCTCTAGCTCAATACAATGGGTATGAGCACAGGAGCTATCATGAGAATGGTCCATGATAGAGCAAAGTTCCATGTTGTTCACAGGGTGCCGAGAGTCGTAGTCCAATAGATGGAATCAAACAACAACAATTAGTATAATTACAGAAACAATATCAATAGGATAACACTATGCCTTACATTGTTCTGAACCTTAGAAAGAGGGCATTGACTGTATAGACTGATTATTAACATCCTAACGTTCTTTATTTTTCATTTTGTATATATTTACTGGCATACTCCTTTATAGTCTATGTTGATTCTCTATTGACACCTCCAATACTGTACACAAGAAACATGTTTAACATTTTGGCAGTTGAAACTTGTAAATACAATTTATATTGATGGTGAAATTGTGGGGTTTCCCTGAAAATAAGGAGTTGCTTGTTCAATTGACTTGCTTTCGAAGTTCATATACAGTGTATTTCACACTATTCTTCATTCATATTATATTTCATACAATCATCCACACGCACTATGTCCCATTAAATCAGTCACCATTGGACCTTGCCCATCATTACCCTGCCTTTTCATCTGAATCCTTCCTATTTCCTCCTTTCCCATACCTCCCAAACTGTACAGCTGTGTGGTTTCACCCCTATCTATCCTCATCTCTCTATTCCCTTCCCTTCCTCCTTTGAGATCCCATACATGCTTTACTAGTTATCCTTCTATTTTTACAACAATGGTCTCATGTAGTATTTGTCCTTATGAAACTGAATTAGTCCACTCAGCATATCATTCTCCAATCTCTTCCAAGTTATGCAGTATTTTTCAACATCATTGCTCCTGAGTGTTGCATAGTATTTCAATGTGTGAATGCACCACAATTTCTCAATCCATTCAGTTGTGGTTGGACATTTGGGCTGCTTCCGTGTTCTTTCAATGGTGACTAATGCTGCTGTGAACATTGCTGTATAAATCTCCATTTGTGTCTCAGTTCTGATTTCCTTGGGATGTATTCCTAGTAGTGGAATAGCTGTGTCATTTGGAGTTCCTATGTTCAACTTTTTGAGGAAATGCCAAATTGTCTTCCAGAGTGGTTGTACCATTTTACAATCTTACAACAGTATGAGAGTTCCCACCTCTCCAAATACTCTCCAACATTTATTGCTGCTCTACTAAACTTTACCACTGTTACTGGGGTAAGATGAGATCTTGTTGGTTTTGACTTGCATCTTTTTTATTGCCAGTGGTTTTGAGCATTTTTTCATATATCTGTTGGCCATTTGAATATATTCCTCTGTGAAAAGTCTTTCTATGTCTTTTGCCCATTTTGTAACTTGGTATCAGTATTTTTCTTCTGGAGGCCCAAGAGTATTCTGTAAACTTTTGTTATGAGACTCTTGTCTGAGATCATCTTGCCAAATGACTGTTTCCAGTTGGTAGGTTTTTCTTTTCACTCTATTGGAAAATGTTTTTGATAAGCATAGAGATTTAATCTTTAGAAAGTCCCATTCAGTGAAAATTAGTTTTGATGTTGATGGTGTCAAGATTACATGGGTTGTAACATGAGAAATTTACCACATGAATTAGTACTTTGTTGTTGGTTGTAGATGCCATGAGTATGACTCATATTGAGACTACAAACAACAGATCTGACCCTGCCCTATCCTGTGTTATCCTCTCAATCTCTTACCACGTGAGCCCATTGCTGCAGTTACTGTGTCAATCCACTTGGTTGAAGGTCTTCCTCTGTTTCACTGTCCAGAATAGTCTCTCCTTGCAACATGCTCAAAGTATGCAAGATGGAGCTTCACTGCCCTTGCTTCCATGGAGCAATCTGGCTTCGCTGTCTTGAAGACATATCTGTTAGTTCTATTATTTGATCAACTAGACTTGAAGCATTTGTTGTAGAAGTTCAAGGAATTCAGTATGGATTGCTTCTCAATGTCAGGAAAACAAAGGTTACTACCACTGGATCAATGGATGGAGAGGAGCTTGAAACTGTGAACAACTTCATTTTGCTTGGATCCACAGTTAATACCCTTGGTATCAGCAGTCAGGAAATAAGGAGACTCATTGTACTGGGAAAATCTGCAGTGAGGAACCCCTCCAAATTATTGAGGAGTACTGATGTCAGTTTGAAGACCAAGTTGAGTTTTATTCAGGCCATGGTCTTTCCGATAACTAGCTATGCATCTGAGAGCTGGACAATGAAAAAGGATGAGAGAAAAAGAATTGACAACTTTGTGCTGTGGTGTTGGAGAAGAGCACTGAACATCTCATGGATGGCCAAGAGAATAAACAGTTATGTCTTGGAGAGGGTACAGCTAGAGTGCTCTTTGGAGGTAAGAATGATGAGGCTTCACCTCACTTACTTTGGACATGTTGCTAGAAGGGGCTATTCCTTGGAGAAAAACATGATGTTCAGTGAAGGTGAGGGATCTGCCAGGTAGATTGACATGGTGACTACTTAATGGCCTTTCGTGTGTCAGGAAGCATGAAGATGGCTCAGGATACATAAGGGTTTAGATCTCTTGTTCATAGGGTCACTATGAGTGTCCTTGACTCGATAGCACCTAACAACAACAGTACCTTCATGTCTTAAAGTTATCCTTAGTGGTGCAAGACGGGGAAATGCTTTGTTTGGTTGTACATAGGTTACTATGACTAAGAGCTGATTCAACAGCATCTAACAACAACGTAATTTTGAAGCATTTGAATATTTACTGAATTTTGAGAAGAAAAAGAGAGAAAAAAAAAACAACAAAGTAGACCAAAATGCCACTGAGTGCCAGCCAATGTCATATGTTGTTTTCATTGTCATTATTGATTGACATTTCAGCTAGCATTTTTATTAAGACAAATATATTTCAAATACTGGACACAGGGTCTCTATGTTGATGTTGAAATAATATGTCAATTAATTGATTAGATTTGTGCTGTAATTTTCTCCTTCCAAATCCTTTAAAGAGTTCTATCTGGGGAAGACTTGTCTAGAAGGACTTCACTTTGAAATAATCTTCAGTTATTAGGGAAATATTCCCATTTGGTGTTTCCCCGACATAAATTGTAATTTCTCAGACTGTCCTCTCACTTGCTGAAGTAGTTGCCTTCTCTGTCAGTTGCTGTGTGTTTCCCCCTGCTTTCTTCAGGCAGAGGAGTTCTGATGTCTTAGTCCACAGGGAGCTGTGCTGTTAACCCAAAGCCTGACCACTCTGTCAGTTCGATTCCGCCTGCGGCTCCATAAGAAAAAGATGAGCAGTTCTCCCTTCGAATTTATAGCCTCTGAACAAACAGCCAGAAGGTTTGCTACACATCACATCTGAATCACGGCAATGAGTTTTACTTATTTTCTTCAAGCCAGCACTCTGTATGAGCTAGAAGTGATTTCCCGATGAAGGTAGAAACAGGCCAAAGGAAAACTGTGACAAGGAGACCGAAGTAGTTTGGAAAGAAATGTCTTCAATAACAGGGAGGGCTTTTCTCTTTACTCTTTCTTTCTTCTTATTCTGCAAACAAAACCTAGCAATGCAGCTGTGCTCTGATGCTGTATTTATGCCTTTCCCTCTAGGGCTGTGTGGAGGAGATAGCTTCGCGTGTGCCAGTGGCATCTGTGTGCCCAAGAAGCTGCAATGTAATGGCTACAATGACTGTGCGGACTGGAGCGATGAGACCCACTGCAGTAAGTGACAGCCATTTGGGGTTGGTCTGCATGGACAGAGATCCTATTCAGAAGCCAAGGTCATTCCATATCACCCCTCTGGCATTTGCACCAACTACTTTGGGTTTGCCTTTCTAAAGTGTACAAACATGTTTACCTTGTTTATTTATGCTTCTAAACCTGGAGATCGCCAATGGCACAAACTATTAAATGCCCCTTCTGCAGATTCAGCCTTAAACAACCTCATTTTATGTCTTCCCTGATTTCATTGGCTGTGTTGACTGAATTAGCTAGTGGTTTGCTAGCTATAGATTCAGATTCCAAGTTGTTTTGCACGGATGCACCAGATTAAAAGGAAAACTTGGCCTCCAGAAGACATTGCATGATCTGTATCCAAAAGGGAACCATATGCAATTGTATTCTAATTGTTTTTTAATGGTTACATAACTAGCAACAATGACTGTGGTTTTGGAAAGCTGAGTTGACAGCCCTAGGGGTGGCCAAGGCTTCGGCACCCTTGGTCGCTGATCTCAGCTGAAAGAGTCCGCTGTGCTGTTTGCCAGGGGAACCAAATTTTCTTCCTCAAAGGCTCAGGATGCTAACTTATGGTCACTTTTGAAAGGCAGGAAAATGTGGTAACATTTTAAGTCACCCTTTCCCAAACTGCTGTTTTCTGTTGTCTTGAAAAATGCTTGAGGGAAAAAAAAGAAATGTGAGTTTAAGAAACTATTACATTGTATACATCTATTGTATTGATGTATTGTTGTTGAGTTATGATGGATTATTTCCCATTATTGTTCTGAATCCTACAGAGAGAAGAAGCAGCCTTGTTAATTTTTCTTTACTTGGCCTTTTGTCAACATTAGCTGCTCGTGTGCTCCCACCTCCTAACTATTTTTCTCTCCTCCCCCTCTTTCTCTCTCTCTCCTCCTCTGTTTTCCTTCATTCTTTCCTTTCCTCCCTACCTCCTTCTTTTTCCTTTTGCATAATGCCCAATTTCTTTGGCCTTGTTTGCATAATCCATGTTGTTGTTGTTGTTTAGTGCCGTCGAGTCATAGACGACTCATAGCAACCCTATGAAAGAACCGCCTGAGCACTGTTCATACATAGAGTTTCCGGAGGCAAGCCATTTTGGAAGTGGATGCCGCTCCTGCTTCCAGGCTTGTTTTAGTTGGGAAGCTCCAGCCAACACTGTCCACCATGGGTACCCGTTACCACGATTGGCACATTATTGTCACAGTCTTCAACATCACAGCAACCACAAGTTACCTGTGTACAGCAACACACAGACCAGTGCTATACCACCTAGAAGAATGTTTGACAGGAAGACAATTTGAACCTGGCCGAGGGCCACAGATTAAAATCACCCACCTTTGGCTTGGTAGCATAACTTCCTTTCCACTAGGCCAACATTTTTAAAAAAATACTGTCTTCTGAAAATCTACTTTTGTAGCTTGGAATTCTTGCTTCCGAAAAAACTATGGCATGCTGTTTTCTGTTGAACATAATTTAATACGATGTGTATTTAAATTAGAACGTTCTGGGGTCTTGGGGGTGTTGGTGATACAGTGATTAAAGTGTTTGGTGGCTAACTGAAAGGTAAGACATGGCCATCTGCTTCTGTAAAGCTTTGGAGCCTTGTAAACGCTACCTGGGCATCCTATAGGATTGCTGAGTCAGGATAGACTTAGCGGCAGTTGTAGCAGAAAATATTGTTTAAAGAGAGAATTTTAATGAGTCAGTAGAATGATATCCAGTTTAGGAAAGTGGGCCTGCTCACTTATCACCCAGTCATGGTTACGGCATTGTTGAAGTCTGCTGTGCTTCTCTTCCCCACCCCTAACCCCGGGGGTGGCAGGGAGTTGGAGACAAATGCAGTCATCATCAAAACGCTCCTCTGTGACACAGAACATCACACTTTGGTTTTGTGGTTTTTAGATTTTTGATCTTGTATTGGGAGCTCCCATGGCCTACTGGATAAGGCTTTACGCTGCCAATGCAGAGGCAAATGATTTGAACTGGCCTATTGCTCTTGGAAGAAACATGGCAGTCTCCTCCCATTCAATTTACAGCCTCTGGGAGCCTGTTGGAGGGTCAGTGATGAGCCGATTCCAACTCAACAGCAATGAATACCACCATCGCCTCATGTGCAACCACCACTCTTCTGTCACTGGAGGCTTGCATGTTGATATAACCCTGAATAGTTTTCAATGGAGCTTCCAGATTAAAACAGACCAGGAAAAAGGCCTGGGAGTCTGCTTCTGACAACTAGCTAATGAATACCCTACAGTTCACAGTCTGAAGCCCAGATTCACTATTGCATGGGAAATAACCCAATGGCCACTAACAACAACAACAATGACAATGTATTATCGATTAAATATTTCTAGAAACAATTTCGGTTTGTTTGGTTCCACTATCAACACTCTTGGCACCAACAGTCAGGAAATCAAACGACTAATTGCATTAGGAGAATCTATTGTCAAGGACCTCTCCAGAGTGTTAAAGAGCAACAATGTCAGTCTACAGACTAAGGTGTGCCTAATCCAGGCCATGGTCTTTGCAATTACTTACAATGCATCAGAGAGCTGGACAATGAATAGGATGACCGAAGGAGAATTTATGTCATTGAGCTGTGGTGCAGGAGAAGAGTATTGAATAAACCATGGACAGGCAAATGAACAAATAGATAGGCTTGGAACAAGTACAGCCAGAATTCTCCTTGAAGGAAAAGATGGCTAAGCTTTTTTCCTCATACTTTGGAAATGTTGCTAGGAGAGGCTATTCCTTGGGAAGAGATATCATGCTTGGAAAGATGGAGGGGCAATGAAAGAGAGGAAGAACCCCAAGGAGATTGACTTACACAGTGACTGAAGCAATGGGATTTAGTGTGTTAGAGCTGATGAGTATGCACAGGATAGGGCAGAGTTTAGGGCTATAGTTCATAAGTTTGCTATGAGTCATACTTGACTCAAGACCACCTAACAATGACAGGTTGGAAGCTTTAGGTAGGCTACCAAAGAGGTGGTGGGGGAGGGAGCAATGTCTTTGAGAGTAGTGTTGATGAAGAGTACAGAATATCCTGCAGACAGAAGAAAAAGCAAGCAAGTCTATGTTGGAAGAAGTACAACTAGTACAACTAGGTTGTTCCTAAACAAGGATGGTGACATTCCACCTCACACACTTTGGGCATTTTGTCAGAAGGGACCAGTAAATAGAGGGTCCATAAAAGAGAGAAAGACACCCAATGAGATACATTGACACATTGACTGTCACAGTGGCCTCAAGCCTGTGAGGATGGCACAGGATAAGGCAAGGTTCAGATCTGCTGTTCAAAGGGTTGGCAAGTTTTAGCTGACTTGACAACACCTAGCAGCCGCAACTTCCTGACCTTGTTGTTATTGTTGCTATGTGCTGTTGAGTCTGACCCAACTCATCGCTGATCCTCCAGTGACTTTTTAGAGGAAGTTAATTACATTGGAGGAGATTGTCCATCATTCTTCTGTGGGACATCTGGTGGATTTGAACCATGTGTCTATGGATTTTCAGTGCAATTTATTTCTTCATGAAGTGTTTATGCTAATCAGAGAAATAAGACCATAGAACCTATTAATGAAAATATTTTAAAACAATATAGTAGGCCATGGTCTTTGCAATTATTTGCTATGAATCAAAGAGCAGGACAGTGCATAAAGATGACAGAAGAATTGATGCCTTTGGACTATGGTGCTGGATAAGAGTATTGAACATATGGCAAACTGCTAAGAGAATAAACATACCTGTCTTGGAGAGGGTGAAACCAAATTGCTCTCTGGAAGCAAAGATTTTGAAGCTCCATCTCACAAACTTTGGTGTGTTGCCAGGAGGGACCAGTTGTTGGAGAGTGACATCATGCTTGGGAGGGTAGAGGGACAATGCAGGATAGTAAGACCCTGGATGAGATGGATTGGCTCAGTGACTGGGGTAATATGGGCAGGTGTATCAATCAGAGACAGTTGATGTTGGCTCAGTATAGAGCAGGGTTCAGAGCTATTGTACATAAGATCATTAGGAGTTACAGGTGACTCAACAGCACGTAAACTAACAACATCACCACAAGACTGGTTTGAATGAAAAGGAGGTGGTAGGTTCCGTGAGTAAGATGAGAGCAAAGTCACCAGGAGTTGGATTGGTGTGGGGAGAATCAATGAAAAAAGACAGGATTAACGCTGTTAGTATAGTGTTGGACAGCTTCGCTCAACTAGTGCAGCTGTGTGACTTGTCAGACATTTTTGATTGTCACAGCTGTAAGGTTGTAACACCAGCATCTAACTGGTAAAGGGTACTGGCTTAGATGCCGCTAATGTCCTACAATGCACAGGGCAGATCTTCCCAGCAAAGAGTGACTGAGTCCAAATGTCAGTAGTGCTGCAGTTGATGAACTCTGTGCTAGAACTACCAGTCAATAATAGAACAAATCATTGTTTTTGCTGAGTCAGAATCATCCCATAGCTGACCCTCCGGTGAATTTTCAGAGGCAGTAAATCACATGAGAGGTGACTGTACATTTTCTCCCTGCAAAGCAGCTGGTGGACTAAAACGATATGCTTTTTGCAATGATGTAACTCCCTATCACTAAGCCACTAACATTCCCTAGAACAAGCTCAAGGAATAAAAAAGCTTGGCTTCTTCTCTTGGTCTGCTTACTAACAAGCTGAGGAACTCTAGACAGCTCATTTAAAATTCGGTCAAGTGCAAAATAAGAGGGACGGAATTAATGTTCTTCACTCTCCCCCATCATTAACACTCTGTAGGTGGAAGCTGAGCCCCCATGTTTGAATCATGGATTGAGATTTACTAATGTGTTTCTATTCATAGATGAATTTTTGTCTTTACCATTTATATTCACAGAGTCACAGACTGGGAAAATGGAATGAAGATCTCGATAATAACCAAAACCACAAGATTCTGTAAACTTGTGAAATGCAACCCTTGTCTGAAATGGTTTTGCCAAAATGTATTTTTTCCAGTCAGTAGGTTTT